TAATGCTGCTACCACCGATGCTATTACGATTGCGTCTACTATTACTGCTACACATACTACAACTGCTAGGGCCCCATAGGGCTATGAGTCGATAGGGCTATAGGGGTATAGGGCTGTTGGGCCATAGGGCTATCGGGCTATAGGGCTACAGGGCCATAAGGGCCATAAGGCTATAAGGCTATAGGGCTATAGGGCACCCGGGCACCCGGACCAGGGCACCTGAGCACCCGGGCACCGGGGAACCGGCCACCGAAATCGGCGGCGAACTTCACCCATTTAAATCCGCTAGGACCCTACAGAGGCAAGCTCTGATTGCGACGCTACCGTGAACCCCAGGCTTACTGCCCAGGGCGGCCAGCACAACCTAAGGCGTACTACCTTAACACCCCTCTCCCGTGATATCCTCAAGTGAGCTACCAGATGCAAAGCCCGCCCATCCCACCAGGTTGGTCAGGCTAGCAGTGTCTAGGGCGGAAGACGCCCCGCCTCCGCCCCCCCCCAAAAAACACACACACACACACACCCACGCACGCACGCACGCACGCACGCACGCACGCACGCACACACGCACGCACGCACGCACGAACGCACACACGCGCGAACGCACACACGCACGAACGCACACACACACACACACACACACACACACACACACACACACACACACACACACACACACAGCACACACACAACAAAGGAAAATAAGTACAGAAGAGGCGACGCGCGCAGGGCCCAGTGTAAGATGTGCCCTCCAGAGGCGCAGCAGAGTGACAGGATGTGGAGGAAGTGGACTGCGCAGAGGAGGTAGCGAAAGGTGGATGCCCAGGCGCGTGTGCTTCGGCCAGCACGGTCTGCGCGGGCGGGCCTGTATGTCTGGCACTACAGGAAGAAGGGGAAAGTTCCTCCTCCTCGTCCTCGTCCTCCTCCTCCTCATCCCTCCTCCCTCCTCCCTCCTCCTCCTCTTCCTCCTCCTCCTTCCCTTCTCCTCCTCCTCCTCCCCCCCTCCTCCTCCTCCTCCTCCTCCCCTCCTCCTCCTCCTCCTCCTCCTCCTCCTCCTCCTCCTCCTCCTCCTCCTCCTCCCCCCCACCTTCTTTCCAGCACCAGTTGCCAGCGTGAAATTCTGCTGCAGCCAAACTGGCACGCCGCTTAGCGATTGCAGCAACCGAGTTCATTATCATTGCCTTCGCCCGGGAATGTCTAAGTCTAAGCTTCTTTCCAGCGGGGCCATCTCCCAGGCTTCCCACATGGGGTCCGAGTAAATGGGGTCGACGGATCGCTCCGCATCGCCGGTGCGCTGGATGTGGAGGCCAGGATTTCCCCGCGCCGATGGCGCCGATGCATCGCCGACGCCGCCGATGCATCACCGACGGCCGATGCACCGCCGATTCTTGGGCGATGCGGCGCGATCCTCCGACCCCATCCACTCGGACCCCATCCAGGAGGCCTCTAGAGCAAGGGCGCCCTCGAGGGCGCGAAGTTATTCGCGCTCCGCGGGTTGGCTCCGATTCCTCCTCGTCCTCCCCTTCTCCCCTGGGAGGCGGCGCGAGAGCGCGAAGTCACTCGCACTTCGCGCTGCGCGCAGCGCGAGAGCGCGAAGTTGGGAGCCCTTGCTCATCGCCGACAGGGGGCCCGATAGCCCACCCCGCCCAGGAACCTTCGGAGTCGCCATCTGGGCCCATCGCCGATCGATCGGTGAGCTGATGATGGATCCCAGTTCGACGTTGCCCCCCGAGCTGATTCCCCCCTATCCCCCCCCACCGTGAGGGAGGAGAGGGGGGTGGAGCCCCCTGTACCCCTCGGCCCCATCAAGTCTGGAGGAGTTATGGTGCTCCTTTGGCTCCCAGGAAGAGCTCGTTGAAGAAGTCTCTGCACGAGTACCTTCCGCACTTCGAGGTGCACTCGGAGATCGACAAGGCACAGGTGGCGCAGCGGGACTTCTGCTGTGAGGAGTGCGTCTCGGGCAACCGTGCCGAGGCCCTCGGGAGCGGGAGGACTGCGCAAACCGTCCCGCCCCTTGCTCGAGGCAGCCCAGCCAGAGGCGGCTGCAATTCTTCTGACAGGGGCCGCTCTTGTCTGGCAACGGCGCAGGAGGGACAGGACTGAAGCTCCAGCGGGGCCCCGGATTGGAAGCGGTCCCTGAGACTCCGTTGCTCTAGGCCTCCCAGATGGGGTCGAAGTAGATGGGGTCGGAGGATCGCGCCGCATCGCCGATGCATCGGCGATGCGGCCCGATGTGGAGCCCGACTGGCTCCACGCCGACGTCGCCGATGCACCGCCGATGTCGACGCTGCATCGCCGACGCATCGCCGATGTATCGGCGATGCGGCGCGGTCCTCCGACCCCATCTGCTCCGACCCCATCTGGGCGGCCGCTAGTTGCTCCCCAGGTCTACTGCTCGCACTGCGTCATGAACCTGTGCGGGATGTGCGCGAGGCAGCACGGCCGCGCCAAGGCGACGGCCCGGCACGAGCTGAGCAGCCTCTGCGAGGAGGACAGCTCCGGCCGCGTCGTCCGGGTGCACCGCGCGCAGTTCTGCGCGAGCCACCGCCGGAGCCGCTACGAGCTCTTCTGCGAGACCTGCGATACGGTGATCTGCAGGGAGTGCGCGATGACCAGCCACCAGAGCCACAACTACAAGCTGCCGTCCGCGTCGCTGGTGGAGAGGCACCGGAGGGGCATCCAGGATCGGGGGCTGCCGAGGGTGCCCGTGGCCCAGGGTGCCCCTCCAGCTCCATCTTGGAGCCCTGCGGGGCCCTCGTGGGGCCCTCGCGGGGGGTGCTCTCTGGAGGTGGTGGGGGCCTGCTGGAAATCCTGGTGGGCAATTCGGGCCACGGGCGCTTCAAGCAGCACCCGGCAGGACCTGGTCGACAGCCTCAACAGCGGCCTCCTGAGCGCCCAGGAAAGCCACCGCGAGGGGGGGGAGGACGGGGAGGGGGAGGAAGAGGAGGAGGAGGAGGAGGAGGAGGAGGAGGAGGAGGAGGAGGAGGAGGAAGAGGACCAGTGCAAACCCAAAACTCATCAACGATGTTGGAATATGAGTAAGCCCTCCCTCCAAAGGCCCCATCCAAGAATTCATTCCCACAGGGAAGGGCCCCGTTGGGAGACAATTGTTTGAAAGTCGCGAAACGTGCCAAAACACCAGTCTCGGGACTTCAACGCCACGAACCAACCTGATAGCTGCGTCTTCACGATCCTGCATTGTGCCAGAACGCCCTTCCTGGGACCTTAACGCCACATATTCACGTAATTGTTGCGCTTCGACAATCTTGAACCGTTCCAAAACATCACTTCTAGTGCGTTACACATGAGAATCACTGAAACGCTTGCCACTGTTTATGACCAAAGTGCGCGGCGCTAAGGCGAAGGTCACATTTTGAAAACGACCCGCCCTCAATGCGTGAATCTCTTGCGTTGTTTTTAAAACGAATGCGCGCGGCGCTAAGGCGAGAGCCATATTTTGCAAACGACCCGGCCTCAATCCGTGACGCTCTTGCAATTTGTTAACGCATGTGCGCGGCGCTAAGGCGAGAACCACATTTTGAAAACGACCCTCATTGGATCAGTGAAAGTCTTGCTTGCTTTAAAAAACGAATGGGCGTGTTGCTGAGGCGAGAACCACATTTTGAAAATTACCCGCCCTCACTCAGTGAAAATATTGCCACCTTCAGGAGCAAACGTGGCAAGGAAGTCTCAGGCGAAACGCCGGGCCCGCTCTTCCGACTGACACCGGGGTGCGACAGGAAGAAGTTGCTTATAAGGGAAAGGATCGCAGGAGGAGGACGAGGAAAACCAGGTTGAAGATAAGGAGAAGGGGGGCAGGAGGAGGATGTGGAGCAGGAGGAGGTTGAGGAGGAGAAGGGGGGTTGGGGGAGGAGGAGGAGGGGGCACATCAACGATATTGCAATACACCCTCCCTGCAAGTTCCCTCATCATAGAACCCTACAAGGTGTTGTTTTCTCTGAGGGAAGTGCCCCGTTGGAAGACAACCGTTTGGAAATTCGAAACTGTGCCAGAACACTATGATTGGGACGTCAACGCCGCGAATCACCATTACTGTTGCGTCTTGGCGATCCAGAACCGTGCCAGAGCACCGTTCGTAGAACGACAGCACTGCGAATCAACGTGACTGTTGCGCGCTGACTTTCCGACATCGCGCTAAAACGTTATTTCTGGGACGTTAACCAGGAGAATCATTGAAGCTGTTGTGAAAGCTAAAGGCGACTGTTGCAGAGGAACTGCTTTTCGTCTTTGAAGCTGCTGTATGCTCTTAAGACGCATGCGCGCGACGCAATGGCTAGAGCCGCATTTTGAGAAGGAGCCGCCCTCCATTCTAGAAGCTCTTGCGAACGTTTTGGACGAGTGTGCGTGGCGCTGAGGCGAGAGCCACATTTTGAAAGCTGGCCGCCTTCAATCCGTGAAGCTCGTGCTTACTCCTAAGGCGAATGTGCGCGGCGCTACGGCGAGAGCCACATTTTGAATGCGGGCCGACCTGCATCCGCGAAACTGTTGCATGTTCTCGCTTCAGGATCATACATCGTGAGGAAGTCTGAAGCGAAACTCCCAGCCCGCCTTCTCGACCAGCCTCGGGGTGCGACAGGGAGGGGTTTTGAAGACGAGGGATGGAGGAGGAGACGGAGCGCCCAGGAGTGCCACCGCGAGATCAACCGCAGCTGCGAGGCCACCGCGGCCACGGTCCAGAAGGCCAAGGCCAGTGCGGACCGCGACTTCGACGAGCTGCTGAGGCCTGGGCCTCCTAAGTGGGGTCCGAGTAGATGGGGTCGGAGGGTCACGCCGCATCGCCGCGGCATCGACGATGCGGCTCGGTGTGGGGCCCGTGCTTTCCCGCGCCGACGGCGCCGATGCAGCGCCGACGTCGCCAGCGCATCGCCGCTGCATCGGCGATGCGGCGCGATCCTCCGACCCCCGTCTTCTCCGACCCCACCTATGGGGGCCTCTGTGAGGGCAGCCGAGGCGCGCTGCGCGGAGCACCCGGGGCGGGGGGGGGACAGGGCATACCGCCACCCCCCGCAGGGTAGGGCCGCGCCGCGGACGTGCGCGGCCCTGCTGCTGGAGGAGGCGGAGGGCGGAGGGCGGAGGCGGAGGAGGAGGAGGAGGCGGAGGAGGAGGAGGAGGCGGAGGAGGAGGGGGAGGAGGAGGCGGAGGAGGATGGGGAGGAGGATGAGGATGAGGGGGAGGGGGAGGAGGACAAGCTAGGTGCGCTCGCGTCATATCTGACATCCTACCCTCCCTCCCATCCCTTACCATGGCGTAGATCCCCTCTCTACTCGCACAGTCGGATGTCGAGCAGGGCAATGATCCCGAAAGGGTAATTACGCGATGCATTGTAGAGCACGGCATGGCATGGCGTAGAAGAGCACCGCAAAGCGTAGTATCAACCTAGCATTGCATTGCATGCCGTGGCATGGCACGGGAAATGACGCCAGTGCTTCGGCGGGAGCACGAGTCGGAACGAGCGGAAGCGCGGAAATGAGGCCAGCGCTGCAGCGTGAGCACGATTCGGAACGAGCGGAAGCACGGAAATGAGGCCAGCGCTGCAGCAGGACCACGATTCGGAACGAGCGGGGCCCGAAAATGAAGCCGGCGCCTCAGCGAGAGCAGCATTTTGAACAAAATGCAGACGAAAACCCAACTCCGGGGAATCCTGTGTGTACAAAAACAGTACGCGGGGGGGGGCTAAGACTCTCAAGCCGTCATCAAGGGAAGAGGGAGAGTAGTATTCATATTGAGTAACTGTGGAGGAGGGGGGGAAGGGGGGGAAGGAGGAGGAGGGAGGAGGAGGAGGAGGAGGAGGAGGAGGAGGAGGAGGAGGAGGAGGAGGAGGAGGAGAGGAGGGGGAGGAGGAGGGGGAGGAGGAGGGGGGAGGAGGAGGAGGAGGAGGAGGAGGAGGAGGAGGGGGGAAGGGGTACGGATACCGCTGCTTTTGCGCTTCGTTGCCGCCGTCGCGAGCCTCCTGGGAGGCGCTCGTCGCCACCGCTGGGTTCGCCTTGCGATTCTCGTTTGAGCGCACCCTGGGAGAGGTCTGAAGAGTGGCGATATCAATAGCTCTCGGATACAAGGGCTCCCTCGAGGGCGCGAAGTTATTCGCGCTTCGCGCTTCGCGGTCCTCGTTCCTTCTCCCCCTCCTCCTCGTCCTCCTATTCTCCCTTTGGGAGGGCGGCGCGAGAGCGCGAAGTTATTCGCGCTTCGCGCTTCGCGCAGCGCGAAGCGCGAAGTTGGGAGCCCTAGCGGATAGGGGATCGACTTCAGAATTGATGTACTCCAGAATCAAGTTGTTCGTCGAATTCGCGAAACAGACGCAGGATGTTCGCAGATCTACAGAACATGTGATTGCTGATTCGTCGATGGAACGGGCGAATCGATTTTGTGGTGCATCAATTCTGTAGTCGATCCCTCTCTTGCAGCCCTTGGTCTTCCCAGGAGCTTGCCCTCGGCCTGCTCAGCGGCTGCAGGGGCGTGCGAGCCGGCCTGGAGGCCGAGAAGAGCCGCTGCTCTGCCGCACTGGTGGACCTCTGGCGCACCATCGATTTCCTCGAGAAGGTCATCTCTCGGAGGAGGAAACGGTGCCGATACCCCCTGGCCTTCTCTCGGTTTCCTCTCTTTGGGGCCTCCTGGGAGGCCCTCGTCGCCACCGCTGGATTCGCCTCCACAGCCCGGTCAGAGCGCAGCCCGGGAGAGGTCCAGGGAGTAGCGGTAGTGCATCGGTACCCATCGGTCTCCCAAATCTTCATGGGGGGCACGGGCGAAAGGGGGGAAGGCTGGCTCCGACCATGAGCACAGACTACACCAGGGGGAGCGATAAGGGGGGGTAGCCTCAGGGGGGAGTGCATCGACCCCCAATCGCCCACTGCTCGCTCTTAGGGGTCTGATAGCCTTCCCCCGCCCAGGGACATGCGGATTCGCCATCGGGGGCCTTGCGCCTCAGCGGAGGCCGTAAAACCGACGGCTCTGGAGAGGAGGAGCCACGTGTAGAAAAGTGTTGTCCGTGATTCGATGTCAGGGGTCAGGGGGTGTCATGAGCTGCTCGGAGGTCCTCTCGAGGGGCACGGACGTGGAGGTGCTGCAGATGAAGTGGCTCTTCAAGGAGACGAGGCAGCTGAGACTGATGGAGCAGTGGGCCTCGCTGGCATCCGAGAGCTCGATCAGCTTAAGCTGCCCCGACCTCGAAGCGGGCTGGCGGTCCGCATCCTTTTGGCAAACGCAACCAGCGCAGCAAAACGGAAGCAATTCCTCCAGCCTGCGTTCCCTGGGAATGTCTTGAACCTAAGACCTGGACCTGCAGCACGTTGTTTGAGCTGACTCGGGGACTCGCCCCTTAGTAGCCTTGTTTGAACTTGTCGCGCTTTTCCCTCGGATTCCTTCTCGGCCTTCTCGTCTGGCTCGTTCCCTTAGTCCTCCTCGTCCCTCCTTTCCCACCCTCCCCCTTGTCATTCTCCTCACCGCCATCCTTCTCCGCCCTATCCTCCACACCCTGGTCGTCGTCGTCTTCCTCCTCCTCCTCATCCATCTTATCATCGTCCTCGTCCTCCTCCTCCTCCTCCTCCTCCTCCTCCTCCTCCTCCATCTTATCCTCGTCCTCGTCCCCCCTCTCTGTCCATATTGTCCTCCTGCCGCGCCTCGTCGTCGAGCAGGTCTGTCGCGGAGCGGGACGCCCTGCTCGGCTGCATCTCCAGCTTCGGCAGCTGTGCATCGCTTCGCCCCGCGTTCCGGGAGGGCGCGCGCAGCTGGGACGCCGCCGACCCCGAGGCCCGCAAGATTCCGCCTGCGCCAAATCCTAGGCCTCCTCGATGGGGTCCGAGCAGACGGGGTCGAAGGATCGCGCCGCATCGCCGATGCATGGGCGATGCATCGCCGACGCGGCTCGATGTGGGGTCCTCTTTTCTCCACGCCGATGTCGCCGATGCATCGCCGACGTCGCCAGTGCATCGGCGATGCGGCGCGATCCTCCGACCCCATCTACCCCGACCCCATCTAGGAGGCATCTACAGATATGACAATGCAGTCGACACCGATGGTAAGGACGGGTCAACTTCCCAAGGGTACCCTTGCATTCGTGCCTCCTTGGTCCATCCTTCACCACTTTCGATGGCCAGCCACGCTCGCAGAGCATCGCCGTGGGCGATACCAGGGGCTTGCATCCGCACCGCGCAGCCTCACGGCCAGCTCTGGCTGCAGCAGCACGAGCAAGCCGAGACATCCTGAGCGCGTCCTGCAACGCTCCGAGAAAGGATGGGCGCCCGAGACATCCTGCAGCGCCGCCGGATCTCAGAGATTGTCGATGTATCCTCGCCCGAACTGGCCCTCGTCGCAGCCTGAGCTCTCGAACGAGCGTCCCCGCGGAGCCCTCGGGCCTGCGCTGCCCCCCCTGGCTATACCCCGGAGAGCCCCCCGCGCCGCCTTGCGCCGCCTCGTCGGACGCGCGGCCGCGCCCCGCGCCTCCGCGCTGCCCCGTGCCGCGAGCCCACGGGCACGGGGCGTGCTTTTCGTGCCCCTCGGAGCCCTGCACCCTTCCTCCGCGGTTGGCCGCCTCGTCTGTCCCTCCCCCGCTCCTGCACGCTGGCCGAGTCGCTTCTCGGTGCCCCCGCTTGGCTCCAGCGCTGGTGCAGCCTCGCCGGCGACGAGGGAAAGCTGTTCGTGTCCCCCCCCCCCGCGCGGAGCGGATCTCGGGGCCATCGAGACGGGCACAGTCGGACCCCGGTCTAAGACCGGTTGGTGTTCTTCGTGTTTGTCAGATGTGCTTATGCTTCCCTGGGAGGGTACTCTTGGATGTTCTGTTTATTTTGGCCGACGGAGGGTTTCCAGTTCTTGATGGAAACTCTTCTGTCCTGGGTCAGTCTGTACGGAAACAGTGGGCACAAAGTACGAGGCCCAAGAATCTACACCACCACCACCACCACCACCACCACCACCACCACCACCACCACCACCACCACCACCACCACCACCACCACCCTCGCCTCCTCCCTCTCCCAGGACAGAGGAGAGGAAGAGGATGGTAAAGGTGGGAGGGTGGATGGAGGTGGTGGTGGTGGTGGTAGTGGTGGTGTAGATTCTTGGTCCGTCATGGGCAGACCTCGCGGGAGGCGGCCACGCTGCCCTGTGTTGCGATCCCGTGGGTGCCGCGGCGTGTGCCTCGCGGGTGTCCCCCCGGCGCCCCCCGACGCTCCGCCAGTGGTGTCCAGTTCTTGTTTCCCCGTCCTCCCATCCCCTTCTCATCCCCCCCTTCTCATCCCCCTCTTCCCCTCCCCCTCCAGCTCCTCTTTCCCCCTCCCCTCCCCCTCCTCCTCTCCCCTCCCACTCCCCTCCCCCCTCCCCTCCCCCCCCTTGGCAAAGCTGTATTGTACGATCCCCGCCGCGGCGCCAATTCGCGCACGGTGTCCTTGCCCGCACGGGGCTCATGGCGTACGGCTGTTCGTTCGTGCGTTGCCCCTCCCCCCCCCCCCCGCGCGGGGCGCTTCCGTGCGACCGCGTGCTCACAGGATCTCGTCGTGTCGTCGTGGGAGTCCAGACCGCGAGGTCGTGGGTGTGGACGTGTCCGCCGCTCGGGGGTGCTCGGCGTGCAGTCCAGATCCTTCTCGGCACGGGGATCAATTCGAGGCAGCGCCCCCGCGTCGGAACGGGGAGCAAGCAGGAGAACGCCGAGGGACAGCCAGGGCCGTGGACGCCAGGGCACCGCGAAGAGCACGGCCTCGCCAGGTCCGGCGGGAGGGAGAACGAGTTCCCTCTCCACGGCCGCAGCATCCCTTGGGCGTGCCAGCGTCCTATGTCCTCAAAGTTCCTGTTCACAGGGCCCCTTGACAAGAGGAGGAGGAGGAGGAGGAGGAGGAGGAGGAGGAGGCGGATGGAGGAGGCGGATGGAGGAGTGCAAGGAGGAGGAGGACGACGACGCTGACGACGGGAGCGGGAGGCGAACGACGAGGGATCGGAGGAGGAGGAAGGAGGAGTGCGGAGGAAGGAGGGACGGAGGAGAGAGGCGGATGGGGAGGGAGGAGAAGAGGACGATGACGACGACGACGACGACGACGACGACGGCGGTGGCGAAGATGACGACGACGACGACGACGGCGACAGCCGATGCTTCAAGCCTGTCCCTCCTCCCCCGCGGCCGCTCCAGCTGTTCGCCAGGGCTCCCCGAGAGGCTAGGCTGAGGCATCGGCGGTCCTCGTCGTCGTCGTCGTCGTCGTCGTCGTCGTCGTCGTCGTCGTCGTCGTCGTCGTCGTAGTCTTCCTCCTCCTCCTCTTCTCCTCCCTCCTCCTCCTCCCTCTCCTCTCTCCTGCATTCCTCCTCCCTCCTCCCCCCTCCTCCCCTGCGGCTGCTCCGTCCTCTCGCCGGGGCTCCCCGAGAGGCCGAGGCGCTGCCGGCGGCGATCGTGGCGCCCGCGGCGCCAGCGGCGCTGGCGGCGCCCGCGGTGGCGGCGGCGGCTCCGTGAGAGCAGGGAGCTGTCGTCTTCCGCCTCCTTTTACTTTAGGTGATCTCCTTCTCCTCCACCTCCTCCTCCTCCTCCACCTCCTCCTTCTCCTCCTCCACCTCCTTCTCCTCCACCTCCGCCTCCCCCTTCTCCTCGGTGCTCGGAGCTGCGGACTGTATCAACCCTTTCTCCTCCTCCTCTTCCTCCTCCTGCTCCTCCTCCTCCTCCTCCTCCTCCTCCTCTTCTGCCTCCCCCTCCTCCTCCCCCTCCTGCACCTCCCACCTCCTCCCCGCCGTTGGCGGTGGAGGCGGCGCCGTGAGCGGCGGCCACGCGAGCTGCAGTCGGCTGCGCCGCAGGGTGGCCCGTCGCCGGAGGGGCCGCTGGTGCGGGCCCAGGGTTAAGTCGGGCGTGTCCCCCATACAGGGGGATTTTCTTCGAAAATTATACAGTACACCAAACATGTTCCAAAATGGCAACAAAAAAAGTCCCCGTACTATGTTTGGACTTTTTGGGGGCAATTTTTGGGGTATTTTTTTCGTCGAAAATCCCCCTGTAGGGGGACACGCCCGACATAAGCACAGGGTTGAGGAGGAGGGCCCGGCGGCGAGCGAGCCTTCCTCCTCGGCGGTGTGCCTTCCTCCTCTGCCTCGGGGGGGAAGCGAGAAGGAGAAGGCCTTCTGAGAGGGCGGCGGGGCTTCGCAGAAGCCCTCGCGCCCTCCGAGAAGGTTCGGGCGTCTGCGGGGAAGGCTGGGGACTTCGACAGCTTCTCAGAAGGCCGGGGGACTTCCGAGCCTTCTGAGGGGGCCTTCTTTTTCTCACTTCTCCCCCTCGCTCGCCGCCGAAAGGCGAAGCACAAAACGCGGCGTAAAAGTCATGCGCTCTCGGGGGTCCGCGCGGATATCTTGGAACGGCGCTGGGCCCCCCTGGCGCCCTCCGCGCGCCAGGGATGGGGGCTCAGCGCCGACCCAAGAGGTCCGCGTGGGCCTCCGAGAAATGACGTTTGCCGTTTGGCCTCCTGGGAGGCCCGCGTCGCCACGGCTGGATTCGCTTCGAAATTCTGGTCTGAACGCACCCCGGGAGAGGTCTGGGGAGTGGCGGTATTGGTATCTCTCGGTCTCCCCACCACGTGGACCCCACTAGCACCGGCTGGCGCGCTTGGATTTCATGGGTTTGGCCTCCCCTCGGCCTCTAAAGCCGCGCACCAAAGGCCACTCTGGCTTAAGGCCGCTCCTGCGTCAAGCCGTCGGGCTCTGTTCTCGTCATCCTCTTCTTCGTAACCTTCTTCATTCCCTTCCCTCACAGCTTGCCTCGAGCCTCGAGCCCTCCATTCTCCATCGCTCTCCTCTCTTCCCTCCCCTCTCCCTCCTCTCTCATCTACCCTTCTCCTCCTCGTCATTCCTCCTTCCTTCCTGCATGATCTTGTGTACCGGCATTGTCTTCGTCCCTGGCTCTAGTCACACTAGCGAGTGCTTCCAGGCAAACCACACCGTGCATGCAATCAGGTTCGCTCTCCGTTGTTGTGTTATGCGCGTTTCCTGCTCTTGCCGCAAGAGCACAAGGAAAGAGTCACAGTTGATAGGGTCAAGGGCAAGTCATGCGCGAGACTTGTGAGTAAGGAGCTTCGTGGATAGTCGCCCCGACGAGCCCCAAACGCGCAAGCTCTTCGTCGTGAAAGTGCCGTCCGCCGTGGCGTTGTGCAGTGGCGTCCTGCAGGATCGCGATTAGTGCAGTGTTGCTCAGGAGTCAAGAGCTTCGTTCGCCCTGGACAATATATGATGTCATGATATTCGCGGTCACCTTGAAGGCATCAATGGAGCGCCCACAGCGTTTATGTTGCAATCGATCGTGGTTGGTGAATTCACCCTCGGGGATACTGGCTTGCAGTGCGCGCGCGGGATGTAGCATCCAAGCATACTCGCCTTAGTTGTTTTGTCCTAGGCCATGCGAATATTATCACGACCGCGTTACATAGTTCAGGATGTTGTAGCCTTTCGCAGGGGCGCTCGCCAGCATGTTGCAAACGCTTGCGAGTGTAATTATCGCGTTGTCTTGTTTGTTTGCAGCCGTCGCTATTCCAGACTCAAGCCATACGTGTCGCAGCATTGCTCCAGTATCGTCAACATCCTCCACGGTCGATTGACTCTCGCCAGCAGGAGTTCGCGCCATTCCGAAGAAGCGGACTGTGGAGACGATGGCGATGTCGTGGCTATTAGCCTTGATGGCGAGTACTCCAGATCTCGTAATTAAAGGGAGGGGGTCTCAACCCTCCCAGACGAGAAGTTTTAGACCCCCCCCCCCCTGGGAGAACCCTCCAAAACATCGTCCCCAGACCGCCCCAGGCCCTCCAAGATAGCCTGGAAGAGACCCCCCCCGAAATGAGACCCCCTCCCTTTTATTACGAAATCTGGAGTACGATTATGACCAATACTATTCAGATAACGGCGCTGAGACCCAAACATACTTGCCTGCATGGCCGTCGTCCTTGCCACCTGCGCCGGGCCCGCCGCGGGAGCCAGGTCATCGTGCTCGGGCGCCTCGTCGTGCCCCTTTCGCGTGGGCCACGGGCCAGGGGAAGTCGCTCCAGAGTGTCCCCAAGCGCTCTCGGAGCGTTATGGAGCGCTCTGGAACGGCCGCGGCGCCCGATACATCCTCCGGAGCCGTTGGATCCCAGAGGTTCCCCATCTGTCCCAGTACGACTGGGCCCCCAGCCACGACGGCATGCCTGAGCTGGAGGCCACGTGCGCATCGCGGCTCGCGAGTGACAGCCTGGACAGGGTATGCTGCTCCTCAGCCTTGCCTCTCTCCCTCTGCGGTCTTCGGTAATGCACTGAGCAAGCTCCTTCTCTGTGTCTTCCGCCTCGCCTCCTCCTTGTCTGCTGCATCGTGGTAATGTTAAATCGCGCCAGTCCCGGTACAGGAGGAAGATTCGAAAATACTCCCAAATCGCAGGGGTATGATGTTTCGACTACTTCTGTTCATGTTTGAATTCGTTTTGACTCTGTTTTAATTTTTCCTCCAAAATCCGCCTGTCGGGGGACATGCCCGACCTAATGGTAATGGAGGATGACGATGAATACATGGTTCTCCTCCAGTCAGAAAGTGTGCAGAAATAGCAGAAAACTATTTTGTTATCGTTCTCTCCCATTTGTTTAAATTAATCGTCACCCCGCATTAAGGGGGCCAAGCGGTTCCGCGCTGTCCCTGGGCGCGAGGGGCCGAGGCGAGGCTCCGCGGTGCGGATTCTCTCGTTGCTGGTGTTGCACCCCTTCCTGCAGTGCTGGTCGCCGTCGTCGCCGTCGCCCACCCCTCCTCCTCCTCCTCCTCTCCTCCTCCTCCTCCTCCTCCTCCTCCTCCTCCTCCTCCTCCTCCTCCTCCTCCTCCTCCTCCTCCTCCTCCTCCCCCTCCCCCTCCCCCTCACCCTCCTCTCCCTCCCCCTCCCATCGACCCACGCGCGAGCCACACCCGCGATCCAATCCGTGACCGCCCACATTTCTTGGCAAGACAGCTGCCTCCTGCGACGGGCGGGCTGCATCAAACCGAAGCCAGCGCCCGCCGCGCGTGCGTCCGAATCCCGCGACACGCGACAGGTGAGCCGAGAGATCGGCCGCTATAGTGGGCTGATCGGTAATACCAAGAGGCGCACACGGTGGGCCCTCCTTTCGCTAGCGTTGGAGCCCCGCGGCCCCAGCAGGGCAGCCCGGGCGCCCGCCCACGCTCTTGGTCCGCAACTGCGGGGCTCAACCACTGGTTCGTCTGGCCCAGCCTGCTCACGCTCGCACCCTCTGATCCCGATCACATCTCTTCTGGTGTTGCTGCTTGTTCCTCAGCTGCTTTAGGCCATCTCCTCCACCTCCCTATCCCCCCTATCTGCCTTTGCCTCCATCTTCCCCCACCCCATTCCCCATCCCGCTCCTGCTCCTCTTGTTGTTCTCTCCCTCCTCTACTCCTCCTCCTCGTGTTCCTCCTCCACGTTCTACTCGTCCTCGCCGCCGTTCGTTTCTCTGTTTCTCTCTCTTTCTCTCTCTTTCTCCTCCCTCATCCTCCAATTCACGTCAACACTCTGATCCTGCTCCCTGTGCTGCTCCCTCCTTGCGGCAGCAGCACCTACAGCATCTTAGACTTCCGCATGCTCGGCGCACAAAGGCGCCGTCACAGCCGGCGAAAAAGGATTGAAACGCCCGTCCTGTCCGACTGCAGGCGCCATCGGGGCGCAAGGAGGAAGACGATGGCGACTGCGATCATGATGACGACAACAAGGATGATGACGATGATGCCGCTGATGTTGATGATGTTGATGATCATGGTGACGACGACGATGATGACGCTGATGCTGATGCTGATGCTGATGATGCTGATGATGATGGTGATGATGACGATGCTGATTGTGTTGATGGTGACCATGATGATGATGGCGCTGGTGGTGGTGGTCATGGTGATGATGCTGCTGATGGTGATGGTGATGATGATGCCACTGCTGATCATGATGCTGATGGTGGTGATGACGATTGTGGTGATGATGGCGATGATACTGGTGATGCTTCTGATGAGGATGATGGTGAGGGTGGTAATGACGCCGATGATGATGCGGATGATGATGAGTATGAGATGCTAGTGGTGATTGTGATGGCGATCGTGATGGCGATCGTGATAGCCTTGATGATGATGGTGCTGGTGATCGTGGTGATGCTGATGCTGATGCTGCAGATGAGGACGATGACGAGGATGAGGATGAGGATGATGAGGATTGTGCTGATGACGATGACGATGACAACGACGATGATGATAATGAGTATGATGGTGATGATGATGATGATGATGATGATGATGATGATGATGACGCTGGTGATGTGATGATGATGGCGATGATGATGATGATGCTGATGCTGATGTTGATGCTGATGTTGTTGATGATGATGGGGCGGACGATCAGTGGCAGCCCTGGCGGGAGCGCGTCCGCGGACCAGACATGGGTGCAGAGGGCAGTGGGGTGAGGCACTCGGTCAGCTCCGGGCGCAGCTGCGACCGCTGCGCCGCAGTCGGGATGGCGCCGTTGCCGTTCTCACACCTGCCCTCACTCCTGCCGCTCGGGCGCCCCTGCCTCGCCACTCTCCGCCTCGTCGTTCCTCTCCACCCCCCTGCTCAGTCCGCTCAGCTTGATCCTGCTCTTCGCTCTCCTCATTCTGCTCATCAACATCCGCGTGATCCGCACTGGAGTGTGGTCTTGTTGCGCAGCGTCATTTTCGAACGGGCTTCTAAATCTTTCGAGAGAAAGCATGGGTCAGGGTGATCAGCGGTGAAGGGGTGGATGAGGAGTTTTAAGCCCATCGTGACATCGGGAACGTGTCTCAACAGCTCTAGGGCTTTCAGGGGGGGGGGGGGGGGGCGGCGGGCGAGGGAGGTAACCGCATGCCGATGATAATAAAGGGACCCCCCCCCTTCAGTGTTTAGAGTTGATTATCGTCGCCCTATACAAAATTCAAATTGGGCGGCGAGCGCTGAGGCCGAACTTCATTATCACCTCGAAACGCTATGTTGAGATAGCAACATCAAGCGATGTTGCTATCCCCGCGCGCGCCTGAACTTTTTTATCTCTGGGGTTGATTATCCATGGAAAGGGGAGCACATGAGCTACCCTACATGAGCACTTAAAAAATCAATTTTCATAAAGCGTTTGTAAATTAAAATTGATAGATTTGGAACTTTCCAGTTTTCCGTTCTTCTTCTCTTCTTCTTCTTCTCTTCTTCGTCTCTTGTTCTTATTCTTCTACTTTCCTCTTCTTCTTTTATATTTCTATATGTCCTCACGCTCGCCTGAACTTTTTTATCCCTGGGGTTGATTATCCATGGAAAATGAAGCACATGAGCTACCCTACACGAGCACTTAAAAAAAAAAATTTTCATAAAGCGTTTGTAAATTAAAATTGATAGATTTGGAACTTTGGATTTTTCCTTTCTTCGTCCTCTTCTTATTATCCTCTTCTTCTTCTTTCTTATTATTATTCTACTGTATTCTTCTTCTTTTATATTTCTCTCTGTCCCCACGCTCGCCTGAACTTTTTTATTTCTGGGGTTGATTATCCATGGAAATTGAGGCACACGAGCTACCCTACACGAGCACTTACAAAAAAACAATTGTCATACAGCGCTTGTAAATAAAATCTAATAGATTTGAAGCTCGAGATTTTTTCTTGAGATAAGCCATTGTTGAGGATATTCCTATGAAAACTAAACGCCAAGGACGTCTCAAAACGTGCTCGGCTTGGTCTCCTCTTGATCATCTCTTACTTCGAGATTATGCTGAGGTCTGCTGGGCTACTTTTATTATCTCTCCCTGAACCCCGAACTTTATTATCCCTTAGTGTTTATTCTCACGGGCATGAGGTTAGTGGTGGGGAAGGAGAGCGGAAGGAGAGAGGAAAACTGGAGTGGGGGGGCGGGGGTAGGGGTCAGGTATTTGATGTACCTTTTCCTTGTGCCAGCCAGGACTCGATTTTCTCCTGGATGGTGGTTGGCCGAGGCCCATTCTGGTTGGCCCCCCACCCCCTATCCTCGCATCTTCCCTCACCTTCCTCCTTCTCCTGGACGCCTGGTCTAAGACTAGGAGCCACCATCTCGGACTTGAGAGGGTAAAGAGTGCGAGAGCTCGAAGGCTCCGTTTGTGGTGAGCAAGGTTGAAGACAGGCTGAGGTACTAAGCCCACGCAGGAGGATGATAGTGATGATGATGATGAGGAGGAGGAGGAGGAGGACAACGACGACATTACGGTTGCAGTTGTTACCCGTTTGGAGTTGTTTTTGGTTTCACATGCGTTGAGACATGACTACCCTTCTGTCGAACACTGGACCAGCGTAAGAAACGAGGAGGAGGAGGAGGAGAAGGCGAAGGAGCAGGAGGACGAGGAGGAGTAAGGTTGCTTCGATGAGGCCACCTAGCTCGATACTGCCGAGAGCTGCCCTCTGAGCAGGTCGGTGCCCCCGTGAGGGTGCTCGGCTCGTCAACCTGGCGGTGCCCGAGGACGTCCGTGTTGCGGCGACCGCGTGCCAGCTGTGCTGGAGCCCCCATGGCGCCGCGCCTCCTCCCCCCCAGAAACGCACGGGCGTCGCTTATCCATCCGTTCCGTATCCAGTGCCCTCCCTCGCCCCACAACGATAACAGACACCCCCACCTGTAAGCACCGACCAGGACGCATATCTCTCCGCGGCGGTCAGTTCTTACAGGGGGGGGTGGGGGGGAGATTCCTGGACCCGTAGAACGACGATGCCCACAACCTTAGTGGGCCCTGGAAACGACAGGGCAGTTTTTTTAACGGTTCCGTTTTGCCGTTTTTGTTGCCGGTTCCGATGCCGTTTTGTGACCGGTTCCGGCTCCAGTTCCAATCCTGGAGCCGTTTTTTTGCAGTTTCCGGTCGCCGTTTTTTTCGCCGTTTTTATGTTCAATGGGCATTTTCGGGGAAACGGTGAAAAATCGGCCCTGCCGTTTCCAGTGCCCACAAAGGGTGGGGGTGGGGGGGAGTTTCCTGGACCCGTAGAGCAACGGTGCCCACAACTCACCGGTAAGAACGGACCAGGGTTCCGCACTCGGGATCGGGGGTGGTCCTTATGGGTGGAGGCGTCTTGCGTTGCCCTCCCTCACCGCAGCGCGAGGGCCATGCTCGTTTGCACATCCGCGCGGCCGTCTTGGGCCGGCGCTGGGCACCCCATCCAGGGCTCGCTTCGATTCCTCCGCGTCGATTCGACGCGATGTCGCTTGCAAGGGCGCCCTCGAGGGCGCGAAGTTATTCGTGCTTCGCGGTTCGGCTCCGATTCCTCCTCACCCTCCGCTTCTCCCTGGGAGGCGGCGCGAGAGCGCGAAGTTATTCGCACTTCGCGCTTCGCGCAGCACGAAGCGCGAAGTTGGGAGCCCTTGGCTTGCTTCCGCTTCCGATTCGGTTCGCTTTCGGATTCCAGTTGGAGCTCCGATTCCTTACCGGAGGCATATTGGCCTGCCGATATCCGCCGGTTCGACTTCGCCCGACTCGGCTGCGGAGTTCCGCCGACCCGATTCACTTCGATCGCAGCCGACTCGTCGATTCGACTCTGGGCCTCTCCTCCTCCTCCTCCTGATCCTCCTCCTCCTCCTCCTCCTCCTCCTCCTCCTCCTCCTCCTCCTCCTCCTCCTCCTCCTCCTCCGCCTCTTCCTCCTCCGCCTCTTCCTCCTCCTCCCCCTCCTTCTCCTCCGCCGCCCCTCCCCGCGCGCCGGTGGACGCGTCGGAGGCGCCGCCCGCGGGGGCGGAGGGGGAGGCCTGGTGCCGACCCCAGGAACTCCGCGCGCGCCTCCCAGGCGTTTCGCGGCCGTGCCCCGGCGTGCTGCCGTCCTTCCAGAGGGCGGCCGATGGTGAGAGGCGGAGGAGGAGGAGGAGGAGGAGGAGGAGGAGGAGGAGGAGGAGGAGGAGATGGAGGAGGAGGAGGAGGCGGAGGAGCAGGAGGAGGAGGAGGAGGAGGAGGAGGCGGAGGAGGAGGAGGAGGAGGAGGAGGCGGAGGAGGAGGAGGAGGAGGCAGAGGAGCCAGAGGAGGCAAAGGAGGCAGAGGATTCCGTATCCCATGCCCTCGCCTCGGCTCGCGGCCCCGCCAACCGCACCCGCAGCGGGGGCCAGGTCGAAGATGTCGCTGGAGAGCCGCTTCTGGCCGCTCTACTTCGGGGCGCCCTCCGCGCCCGCTCTCCGAGGACAGCGAGGGCGCGGGGGGTGCCGGGGCGCCTTGCCCGCGGTGCGCGGGCTGTGTGCTGGGCGAGGGCGGGGCATCCCACACGGCCTCCCTGCGGCAGCTGGGCGGAGGCACGGAACGCCTCGTTGACGGGGTGGCCGAGCAGAGATCCAGCTGCCTACGGCACGTCCCGCCACCGTGCCTGGGTTGTGGGTATGCCGCCTATTGGATGTTCGCTGGGATCTCGTGGAGGTTCTCGGGGGCCTCTTGGAGGCAGTTTTGGGCCTTCAGGGCCTCTTGGGAGCATCCTGGGGCCTCTTGGGCGCCTCTTGGGACCTCCTGGCGGCCTCTTGGGGCGGAAGGCTCGGAGGTTCGGTTCGTGTTTCTTCTCTTGGGCCCCTTTTGGGGCCGTCTTGGGACCCTCTTGGGCCGTCTTTGGTGCCTCTTGGGCCGTCTTGGAGCGCTCTGAGACCGTCGAGGGGGCCCGCATGGAGGCCTCGTGGGCCGGTTTGAAGTGGTATCGGGGGCCTCTTGGGCCGTCTTGGAGCGTCGGAAAGCTGAAAATCCGAGAACGCCCAAATCCTCCCAAAACCTAAAGGAAATCGATAATGCTTGCCTCTTGGGGCCCTGTTGGGAGGCCTCGTGGAGGCCTCTTGGGGCGTCTTGGAGGCCTCTTGGCCCCTTCCGTCGCTCCTTGCTTCCACTGCTTTGAGGGCTGCGCCGCATGCACGTGGCAGACAAGGAAGATCCCCAAGGGGGCACGATCGAGGACGAAGGGGGGCGGGTCACGAGGGTTTGGAGCATACGTGTTGGATAGCACGCGAGCAGATAGTAGCGAACAGTCTTGAAATGATGATTGGTGTTGTTGTTGTTGCTGCTGCTGCTGTTGTTGTTAATGCAATTGTTGCTGCTGTTGCTTTTGCTGTTGCTGGCGCTGTTTCTATTGTATTTTCATTACTGAAGAATACATGTTATTGATCCCCCCCTCTGGTGACCATCGTGTTTGTTCAATTGAAGTGCCTCCCCCTGGGTTCGCACCTTCTTTTATCAGGGAAAGTCATTCGGCTCAAACTGCGCGCATGGCCCCTGGATTACAACAAAAACGGCTCCCGCCTGAGACTTCTGAACAATTTAGCCAGGACCCCCGTTCCCGCCTGAGACTTCCTCCCCTGTTACTCAGGAATCGCGCTCTCGCTTGGGACTTCCCTACACTGTATTCAGGAATCGCTTTCTCGGCGCTCTGGAGTGGCGCTCTCGTTGGAGACGTGCTTGCAATTTACTTGAGAATTTCATTCTTGCATTGGCATGCCCCGCAATTTACTCAAGCGCCGCGCTCCCAACACTCAGGCACCCCTGACTCGCGCTTACGATTAAGACTCCCTCACAGCTAACCTAGGAATGTGGATCTCGCTGCCCTTCGTGGCCCTGTTGCAGCCCTTCGTGGCCCTCCTGCTGCCCTTCGTGGCCCCGTTGCAGCCCTTCGTTGCCCCCTCGCTGCCCTTCATGGCCCCGTTGCAGCCCTCCGTGGCACCCTCGCTGCTCTCCGTGGCCCCGTTGCAGCCCTTCGTGGTCCCCTCGCTGCCCTTCGTGGCCCCGTTGCAGCCCTTCGTGACCCCCTCGCTGCCTCTGCGGCCGCGTTGCAGCCCCTCATGGCCCCCTCGCTGCCCTCCGTGGCCCCGTTGCAGCCCTTCGTGGCCCTCTCGCTGCCCTTCGTGGCCCTATACGTATGCCCTTCGTGGACCCCGCACGTTCGCGCCCGCCGTGGCCCCACATGCATGCGTTTCGTGGCCCCGCTGTCGCCCTTCGTGCCGCCGCCGCTGGCGTCGCCCCACTGTGCCACTTCCGCTGCTGCTCATCGCCGCCGTGCCGATGCTGCTGCCCTGCGTGAAAGAGGGTCGTCCACGGAGGCACAGATACGGATACCGCTGCTTTTCCTAGGAGCCCGCTTCGCCGCGTTTAAATTCGCTGCCAGATGTCGGTCAGAATGCGCCCCAGAAAAGGTAAAGTCCAGTGGGCCGATGAGGAGGATGATGATGAGGAGGAGGAAAACAACAGGGACGACGACGAGGACGTCCACCAGGACGAGGACGAGCCTCAATGACGTTCGCAGCCATCGTGTTCCGCGTGTCGCAATTTGACGGGACCTCAGCAAGAACCTACGCGCGCGCGCGAAGCGCGCGCGCGTGGTTCTAGTGATGTATGTATACATCGTGCGTGTATACTAAAATATGTTTATACATGTATATATATATATGTATATAGATAGATATCAGGATTGCGAAGTTGGGGCACTTCCCCAAATTCGTCCTCTTTGTGATTCTGCCCGTAGTATGGTTCCCCCCGCCTCGTCGTCTTCCCGGTGGATGAAGAATGGGGGAGGGAGGGACCATGACGAAGAGCAGGAGCAGTAGGGGGAGACGAAGTCGAGCAGAAGTGGGAGGAAGAGGACGACGACTACGACAACGAGACTGGTAGAGATGAACACTTTCACGATGTAGGCCAAAAGGGCTCGAGATTTGTATTTGCCTAAAGGATCGTAAACGCGTGGTCCTGCTTTCAATCGCGCCGCCACTCCAGTCCTAGCAATTACTTACACGATCGCGTTTTGTTGGCAGCGAGTTACTCGACATAGGCCCAGAGACTCCCCCGCTATGAGAGATTGGCTGCCCGCGCCCGCGCCAGGTATCCTGCTTCTTCGCGGCGGTGTTTGGCGAGCACGCGCCGAAGCCATTCTGTTTATAGTTGCATCCCCACCCTCAGTGAGGCATGGATCTTCCCCAGATGTACATTGTTTCGTTTGTCACAGACCTGCCGTCCAGATGTTCAACCTATGGGCTTGTGTTGGCCAGCGCATGACAGCACCAGGTCTAACTTCAAGGCTACGAGTAATTTCAGGGGAGGGCCATGAACCTATGGGTTTTCGGTTTTCGCAGGTGTGCTGCATGATTCGCGCGACCTTGTGCGCTCACCGTTCATGACTAAGTCTTCGACGGGAAGCTGGATCCCGTTGGCACAATATTTGCTCCTGTGTGGTTTTGCTGGTCCTGGCCGTATGTGCCCATCGTCGCGCCATAGAAAATGGGGGGACTGGACATAAACATACATGGTCGCACGAAATTGCTCCTGATTTCCGCTCGTCCCTCGCATTTTCCGCCTCCTCGCCCTATCCGGTGCAGCTCTGTAGGCGCCACGACGCTCGCGAGGCAGAGGGACCACTGCCAGCGAAGGCAGTCGAGCCTGGGCCATTGCATCAGAGATCTGGACGGGGGGAGTTTGCGAGCATTCTGTTCTTGGGAGCGGGCTCTTGAGCCACCATTGCGCTGGCATCGTGACGCGGCGCGTGGCTGTCGCGAAAGCAGGCCCCACAGCGATTCTTCCGCTGACCCTCTCCTCTCGCGTGACCTCCGCCTCCCCTTCCCTCTCTTCCTCGCCCACTCGACCATCGATCCTCCATCGTCTCTCCATCCCTGTATCCTGAATGTGCTATCATGGATTTCTTGAACCTCGATCCTCGATCTCTCGGCTCCCGATCCACGATCTTTGGCCCCTCGATCCCTCAAACCTTCCCCTCCCCCTCCCCGTCTAACCGCCCTGGGGGCTAGGTGGGCATCGCACAGCCAATAGAGGACGCCCGCGATGCACCAGGAGAGGTCGCTGGATGATTTTAGGATGGCCCTGCGAGAAGTCGGGAGGAAGGAGGCGCGGTGTCCTTTTCCCCCTTCTCCGTTAGCATCTGCGTCTTATTCCGCATCTTCTCCTTGCCGCATCTATTCAATTATCTGGAAGGCGTGGAGGTTCGCACGAAAGCCAGAGCAGATCAAGATAACATAGCCTAGACGCTCTTTGGGTATGAATCGAATTGCGCATACCCCAGAACCGAGGCGGCCATCTCCGCCTTTGCGACACACTGCATGTCCCACCTTCGCAATCGCCTTGAGGCGGTCGATATCCCTTCCTCGGAGCCCGAGGTGTCTTCTTCGGCGAAGTCAATTTCTGGCAATGGATGCACCCGGTCTACGAGGCGACGGGGACGCGCCACCTAGAGACGTGGGTGCACAACGGCAGCAGACGTGGCACATATTTGAAGCCGGCGAGGGACCTTCCGCGCAGAGCCTAGATTCAATAGTTGAGGATGGCCGTGGTGCACGCACATGTTGTTGCGGCATTTGTGGTGTGAGCGCACTCTGTTGTGCAGTGAATCAACGTACTGGGCAATGGCGAGGACGACGACGCTCGGAGGAGGAGTGCGAGGTACAGGAGGGGGACGACGACGACGACGACGAAGTCGTGTCCCCCCTCGGGCCCAGGGGCGTCCAAACCCATCCCAGAGCACGGCGCGTCGGTCGGTCGGTCGGTCGGCCGTCAAAGCGGTCGACGGCTCGGACGTCGTGCGTGGTCGGTCGGGCCGTCGTCGTTGTCGTGGGGGCCGAAGAGGAAAGTTCTTCGGCTTGCGTAGGTGGGGTTTTGCCTGCGTCTCCCCCGTCAACAGGCGGCGCGTTCGCTGGGTCCCCGCTTCGACCCGACCGGGTCGCGCGCGAGCAGAGACGTTTGGACCAAACGGAGAATTTAGTACTTCATATGATCATGTGCGGATCCGCCCCGAGGCAACTAAAGCGCTGGCCCCTGGAGTTTCTCACGCGTGCAGTTTTTGTCCGCTGAAGGGCAGAAGCGGGGCAATTTCCTTCATTCCTATGCCGATACTTTTATCGCTTGCATGGAATATCATGGATCATTGCAGCTCATTGTGTGTGGGCCGGAGTGTCGTGGGTCATTTGTATACTCCGGATATCATTAGTTGGAGTGGAAGGCTCGTGGCTCGTGGATCCCATTCTTGCCTGGGGGTAGATATAATGATTCATTTAGTGGGCCCACAGGAAATGGGATCCGCGGGGTCGTGGATCTGTAGACCAATGCATGGTTGTTCTCCATGTCCGTCGGTCAGCCAGCCGATACATCGTCGTCGTCGTCGGTCCGTCGGCCGGTCGGCCGGTCGGTCGGTCGGTCGGTCCGTCCGTCCGTCAGTCGGTCGGTCCGTGTGTCTGTCGGTCTGTCGGTCCATCGAAGTCGTCGTCGGTCGGTCAGACTTCGTTGACGGTCGGTCGGTCCACCGCTGTCGTCATGAGGAGCTGGAGAGGAAAACCGTTCCGCCTTCGCAAGTAATGGTTTTGGTGGTGATCATGGTCATCACGAGGCTGATTGGTGATGGTGATGGTCATGAGTATGAAGCTGATGATGACGAGGACACTCAGTAAAAGTCACGTGTAGGAGCCCGTACGGTTGGCTGCTATGTCTGTGGGCAGAGCCTTGGTGAGAAGCAGGCTTGAGTAGGAGGGGACAGGAGGAGGAGGAGGAGAAGGAGCAGAGGAGGAGGAGGAGCATGAGAGGAGGAGGAGGAGAAGGAGGAGGAGGATGAGGAGGAGGAGGAGGAGATGGGGGGAAGGAGGAGGAGGAGGGGAGAGGAGGAGGAGGAGGAGGAGGAGGAGGAGGAGGTGGAGGAGGAGGAGGAGGAGGAGAGGAGGAGGAGGAGGAGAGGAGGGGAGAGGAGGAGGGAGGAGGAGGGAGGAGGGAGGGATGAGGAGGTAGGAGGAGAGAGGGGAGGAGGGGGAGGAGGAGAGATGGGGAGAAGGCGGAGGAGGAGGATGAGGAGGAGGAGAGGAGGAGGAGAGGAGGAGGAGGAGAAAAGGGGAGGAGGAGGAGGAGAGCAGAACGCCCAGGGGGGGAGGTAGGAGGGAGAGGTCGACGGCCGCACGGCCAGGGCCGACGCTCCCATGGCTTCCCCTGTCTTCCCTTTCCTGCTCTCCCTCCCGCCCGCCCCCTGCCCTCTGGCCAAAGGTCTCTGGCCAAAGGTCTTCTCGTCGTCGGAGCAACGCGCCAGAGGACGCACCCCTCCTCAATCAAATCTCTTTTCGCTTCGCGCACTCACCATTTCCGTTTCCATGTCCATCTGCCTTCCCCAACATGGCTTCCCCTCCATCCCCGCCCCAACACGCCCATCTTGCGTTTCGTTGCAGGCGTGTGGGGTGCCTCCCCCTATACTGGGGCCAACCTCGTCATGTCGGCGCGCCGCGCCAGAGCTTGGACACCGCTCTCGGCGCGCAGTTGATCCCAGCGATGGGGGTCGATCCTGGCCCTCCCTCCCCCCTCCCTCCTCCTCCTCCTCTGCTCCTCCTCCTGCTCCTCCTCCTCCTCCTTCTCCTCCTCCTCCTCCTCCTCCTCCCTCCTCCTCCTCCCTCCTCCTCCTTGCTTCCTCTCCCCTGCTTCCGCTCCCCCCCCCAGTCCTCAGCTAGGCCCAGGAAGAGGATCCTTCGCTCCAGAGCGTCCCGCAGCGCTCTCACGAGGCTCTGGAGCGCTCTGCGGCTTGAGGGCAGCCTCGACGCACGACGTCGGCTTCAGATCGGAAGAACGAACGGCGATCTTTCGCTCCAGCGAGGGGGTCCACGATACCTCCCCAGGCTGGGGATCGGGAATGTCTCGGGCGGGGAGGGGGGACCACACCATCCCTGATTCCTTGCGCTGGACGTGGTTGTGGTGTCGCTTCTCCTGATTCCTGCCAGGCCCGCGGTTCTCAGAGATCCCCGAGTCAGCCTCCTCCGCTCCTGGGGCCCAGAGCGTCAGGAGCGCCAGGAGCGTCAGAAGGCGTCAGAAGCGTCACGAAGCTCCTGGAGCCCAGAGCGTCAGGAGCGTCAGGAGCGTCGGAGGTCTCGGAAGCGTCAAGAGCGTCAAGAGCGTCGGAGGGCTGGCGGCACCGCCTGCCCCATCCGTCTCCGCATCGGGGTGCATCCTCTCACCCTGCCTCCGTCTGAAGTCCGTCTCCCCCCATCTGCCCTGCCCCCCCCCCCCCTCCCTGCTGCGCTCGCCCTGGCCGCTCGTCGCACCGCCGGCGTGGCGCAGCTCAAGCACCTCGCGACGTACAACAACGTGAACCCGTCCTCCCAGACCACGATGTACGGAGAGGCAGCGGGAGGGAGGGAGGGGCAGCGTTTGGGGGGCGGGAGATAGGCTCAAGGGGAGGGGAGGGGCGCATCGACCCCAACCGCCCGTTCATCGCCGAGAGGGGCCCGATAACCCAGCACCGATCCGAGGTCGATGTTTCCCCCCCGAGCCAGCCCCCACGCAACGTGCCCCCTCAAAGCAGGAGGGGGCCCTGAGACCCGGGCGTCGGATTTGTTCTCTTTCCGGCGTGTTTTTCGTCGCCTGTTTTCGGGCCCGCGGGCACTGACATATCGATCACGCTCAAGGTGTGCAACAGGAAGATGCGGTCGAAGGCTCTGTTTGTGATTTCTCCGACGTTGCGCGAGGTCAGGTCTCAGGGGGCTTCAGCGTGGGAGGAGGGGATGGGAAGGAAGAGAACACTATAGGGAGGGAGGACAAGAAGGGGGACAAGGAGGGAGGAGAAAGGAGGGAGAGGGAAAGGGTCAAGGGACACCTCGAGGGTCTGCCTTCGTCTTTCCTCCTCTCCTCTATTCCTTCTGCTCCTCCTTCTCCTCCTCCTCCTCCTCCTCCTCCTCCTCCTCCTACTCCTCCTCAACCTCGTCGTCGTCAATGGCTCGAAAAGAGGGTGGTACTCAATTCAGTTCCCCCCCTCGGATACTCAAACATGGCGTCGTGGGGCCCTTGTAGCCGCTCTTGGGCGTCTCTTGGGCGCTCTTGGAGCCGTCTTGGGGCGCTCTTGAGCCCCTTCTCGGAGCTCTCTTGGGCCATCTTGGGACCATGCCGACGTCTCAAAGGCCCGTCGGAAGCGAAAGAGCGAGAAGACACATCACATTGTTTTCCTTCCAGTCTCTGAAGGAGCTTGGCCTCTTGGAGGGTGCTTAGGAAGGCTCGACAGGCACTTGGAACCGTCTTGGGGCTATCTTGGAGCCCTTTGGAGGTATGTACGAGGCTATATTGAACCATCTCCGGCTATCTTGAACCATCTTGGAGGCCGTCTTGGGCTGTCGAGGGCCCCCTTGGTACCATCTTGGGCCCATCTTGAAACTCCAACTACCCGCCCCCCCCCCCTCCCAGGCCCACGAGGGGGTGGGGCCAGAGGTAAACCCCTCCCCCGAGCTGGGGAAGGAGGTTGAGACAAGACACAACTCGTTAAACCACTCACGCCCTAAAGGCCTAATGGTTGGTCGGATTAACACGGGATCGTTGTTTCGGGAGGTGGAGCGCGGATCCGAAAGGGAACACGAAGCCATGTTCAGGTGGATTAAAGAAGCACCTGCGCTCGGATTCGCGATAACCCCTTGCCTTGTGAGCTTCAAGAGGGTTCCCGACGGCCCCCGAGGGTGCCAAGTGGGCGCCAGGACTGGCCAAAAGGATTGCAGAATGCTTCAAATATTGCTCAATGTCGCCAGAGGCCCCAGGAAGCGGCAAAGGCCTTGAGAGATGTTCCAAGAGACACCAAGGGAGCCCCGAGAAGGCCAGCCATACCGAAAGCCAGCGCCAGTTCGAGGCGTATTCGATGACTCCTGCTTCGGATGGGCTTCGGATCAAGAGCGGCCCTGGAAGCCCCGGAGAGGGCATTGATCGCACGAAGGAGGCCGCAAGACAGGCCGAGAGGGCCTCACGATGGCCCCAAGAAAGACGGCCTCCGCAGCCACCCTGGCCCAAGCTGCGAGGAGCAGCTGGACGGTGCTCAGTCCAAGCACGAGCGGAGGTGCCCGCCCTGCATGCTGCAGTGCGGCGGGCAGCCCGGGAGTGACGGGCAGCCCGGGCCACCCACCGACCTGCTGTGCCTCTACGTCCCCCCGCCGGAGACGTGGGAGACCATGCTCCCCAGAAGCGGCGCGGCACGCCCGAGCCCGCAGTGCTCCTGCGGGGGCGAGGAGGACGCCTTTACCGACCTGGTGCCGATAGTGCGCAGGCAGGCGCTGGCCGCGTCCGCGCCGGCGGCGGGCGGGCCAGAGACACCAGCCAAGACGAAGGTTCAGGCAGCGGCGAAGCGTCCTGTCGTGCCTATAGCCCTACAAAGCAATGCTCTAAGAACCTCTTGTGGTTCCCACGGATTGTTCTTAGAACAGTTCTTGCTGGGACTGTCTTGTTTTATCACATCGGGTTCATGTTCTAAGAACAGTGTTCTTCTGTTATCAGAACACTTTTGGGTCCTAGGAGCATTTCGTGGTGGGACTACAGGAATGCCGGGACGGTCGGTCCCTGCTCAAAAGGTGCAGACCACGGAGTGGCTGTTCAAGCCACGAGACGGCAGGGCCGTGGTGGTCTTCGCGGCGCCCCGCTTCGGCGCCCCGCTCACGGGCCACACGCTGAAGCCCGGCGAGCGGTTCCGCGCGGCCGAGGTGCAGGAGAGCGGGGAGGAGGGCGGCCTCCGCTTCCTGCGGCTCGCAGACCACCGGGGCGGGTGGGTGGTGGACCGCGAGCCTGGCCACGAGATGTGCTACAGGCTCTCCGACGGGCTGGACGAGCTCTGGATGTACGCGCCGGCCAACGGGAAGCCCATGGGCATCCGCGGGGAGCCCCACGTCTGGGGAGCCAGGACGGGCGGCAGCCTGAGCCCGGGCCAGACGTTCCGAGTGAGCGAGATACGGGCCGGCGACAGCGGCGTCCTCTTCCTGAGGCTGTCGGACGGCCAGGGCTGGGTGTTCGACGAGAAGTTCTCTGCCCCGTTCGACGGCGAGCTGGGCAGCCCGCGAGGTTATTCCGCGCTATTGTCTCCTCGACGAGGTGTCAAGGCCGAGCTCGTCTGGGCCGAAGCGCCCGACGGCGTGCTGTGCAAGAGGGTGCTGGACGAGACGTGGATCTGCCAGCCTGCAAGGAGGCGGCCGGTCCCGATCCTGGAGAGCCCCCACATCGGCGCGGAAAAGACAGGTTACAAGATGCACCCGCAGGAGACGTTCAAGGTCGTCGAGATAGAGGCGGGCGCGGGCGCGGATGCCAGCGTCTTGTTCTTGAGGCTCGCGGACGGCCGGGGCTGGCTGTTCGACGAGCACCCCGATTTGGGACGGATGTGCAGCAGGGTCCGAAACATCGCCACGAGGACGACGCTTTTGACCGAGGCCGCCAACAAGATCAGCGTGCAGTCCATAAAAGATTTCAGGATTGGCGGCATTGTCGAGATCGTCAGTGCTAGCGGCACCGAGAGGGGCACCATCAAAGACATCCAGGAGTTCAAGCGTGAGATCACTCTGAGCCGCGCACTGGTGCACGTGCACCCTGCAGGCTCCAGTGTCACTGCACAGCACGCGAAGCCCGCGCGATGGTTCTAGGTACAGACTGCCCCCCCGCTGAAGAGCCATCACGCAGATTCGCCGCAGAAGAGCGCCAGTCGGAACTCGTTTAAGGAGAGCCCAGACATCCGACGATGTGTCTTTTCAATGCGCGGCCCCGAAGGCCCCGACCTTTTCCCCGCAGGCAGTGCTTCGTACTGGATCCGTGTCTGATAGCCCGTGGGCCCGATTACAAGCCTCATATTCCGAAGTGAAAGAAAAACGCTTGGATCGAACAGATCGTCGGATACGGTAGGTTCATGCGGCGTTCGCGCGCCGGCGACGCCGGCGAAGGCGTTCAAGGTTTAATTCTGCGACGCGGAAGCACCGATGGACACGGTTCGCCATTGGACCCGACTGAAGTCAACTTTGAACGATCGAGGCTGCGATCGATTCAAGGTTGAACGATCGACGCGGTGCCAAAAACCTTTGCGCGCACCGACGCCGCACGAACCTACCGTATCTGGGTATTTCTCGGGGGCCCCCAAACGGGGTGGTGACCACATCGTGCGGTGAGTCGGTGGGGATTCGGGGTCGCCGCACGGTTTTGGGACTCGGGTCGTTATCCGAGGACGTCTCGGGCGACAGGGGTCTCCGAGGCCCCAAGACCGTGCGGTGACGGACCGTGCGGTGAGGTCTTGGGAGATTTCGAGGTCACCGCACGGTCTGTCACCGCACCGAGGAG